GGCAGAGACACTGCCATTCATATATGTCAATACTGTTAAAAAAGGAGCTGATGGGAGGCTGCTGCTTAGAGAGAAATATTTGGGCCATTTGAGAGTTATAGGTAAAGAGACGGTGCCTCTCTGCAATTGTGGAGGCTCCCACAGATAGTGTTTACCCCTTCACTTTAACAAAGCACCCATGGAGTTTAGGAGGACTGAGAGTTACAAGTGAAGTTAACCGATGGACGGGAAAGGAGGGGGGAACCCCTCAAACAATAAAGAATGTTTTGTTTTGTCTTTCAGGCAGTGTGCCTATCTATTATTTTGGCACCACCCAAATGCAAAAGCAAAAGACAACCCCCCCACCCTGTCAAATGAAAAACAATACGAGATGCATATCAACAACATAAAGAAAAATTAATAATGTTTGAAACGGATGATGGCTGTCACAGATGCCTGCTACAGCCCTCACACAGGAAAAGGAAGGTGAGGATGTATTCCAAAGAAGAAAATGAACTGGGAAAGAATGAAAAAAAATGTTGAACAAAGTAGAGTTTAGCCATTAAATTCTTGTCTCTTGTGCAGGATGATGTTAATAATTTTAAATGATCAGTATCCAGCTAAGGTGGGCCTTTGCTCTTTTTGTTATCAGCACTGTATCTTTCTTTCATGGGTGTATAATATTTCTCTGAAGAGTGAGAATTCCTGTTTTTTTAGTATTAATTCAAGCTCTATCCAGTATCCCAATGAAACAGAAGTCCAAAGACATCTTGATGCCTGATTGCAGTGACTAATAAGGCCGAAAATGTAGTTATTTAAGACAACTGCTCATTTTTTTTTAAAAAAAGGGAACTACAATATGTAACAGCCAGCCCTGTTCCTGAAGCATCTTAAACATCCCTTTCTCTTAGAAATCTCCAGAGTGCCAGGCTATACTAGTTATTACCAATTGAATTTTCAATAGCAAACTTACCAAGCCCTAACTTTGACAAATTTTATTTCACATTTGTCAAAGGAAATAAAGCTGACAGCATTACAGGGGCTGTGTACTAAAAGTAGTATCTCAATTCCAACAGTCTGTCCAACCTCTCTGTCCTTAGGGAACCATTAAATCTGGGCCCAATTCACAGCTTTGTTTGAACACAATATATTTTACTCCTTTTCTTTGCACCCCTGATATTTATTTCAGTGTTAAATCTCTTCTTCCCTTCATCTGTTACCTTGTTTTATTTCTGTTTTTGAGAACCTATATTTTTACTAATAAATATTCAGTTCACCATTTCATCCTGTATTTAATATGCCCAATGCATGTTTGCCGTGCTAACTTCTCAACAGATTGAGTGGACATTCCACTGTTGCAGTGCAGTCATAAAATTCAGGAACTTATAAAACCCTACCTTCCCTTTCCTTCCATTAGTTTTTTTTTTTTTTCCTTGCTACAGTATATTTTCCCCACTGGCTTCAACAGTTCAAACAGAACCACAGCTCCTCCCTGTGGTCCTATGAATGGATTACTTCACAGCCACACCAGAGAGTTCCTCAAAAGAATGATCATAATCCTTGTCCGGCTTTGCTCGACAGCACTGGCTGCTTGACCACAGACGGTTCCTGGGTTCCAGGCATGATTTTTACATGCTCCAAAGATGTGGCTAAACAGGGAGTGAATCCATTTGGAGCAAAGCTTTGCCTTGTGCCAAGCGTTAGATAGGGAACCATTGTTATATGTGCTTAGATGTCTTGCGATTTTTGTCTCAGTAAGTCACATGAACCGAGCACGGAGTTCATTTGCTGATATATAGACCTTGTCATTTTAACAGACTTACTGTTCATTTAAAGTAAATTAGAATTATAGTCCACTTCTCCGAAGGCTTAGCATATGACGGGACTGTGCAGTAACACTAAAACACATACAGTATTCATCTTTGATCTATTACATGTCGTCATCTAACAAAGGCTAGGAGAGTTAGAGATATAATAAGGCTTTGATCACAGGAAAACTTACCCCCATTCTGGACTATGGATTATAACATTGATTTTTTTTTTTTTTGCTCTCTCCTTATTTTTACAAAGGGATATTTTCCACAACACCACATTCTTTTATTGAGATAATTACAGCTACTGCAATGCTTGCTTCAGTATATTCTCTTCTGAAAAAAAACAAAACAAAACAAAAACCCTGATTTTTATTTTTAAAATAAGCATTGCAAGTGATTTTTTTTCCTGGCTGAGTTATCACAAAATAGTCAATGAAACAGATCAAAATGGAAGTAGCTGTTTATTTTCTCACCATCAGATATCCTGACAGAATATCTTCAGGAAGGTTATCACTCCTCATGTTGTTGAGGAGAGGGAGGAAATGGCCTTACAGGTACAGAATTGTGTGTGAGTGTGTCTGTGTGTACGAGTGTCTCTATGTGAGTGTCTGTACGTGTGTGTGTGTGTGTGTGTGTGTGTGTGAAAGAATGTGTTTTGTACATGTGCAGATGGATGCTAAATTCAAATACAAATAGAAAATGCCAGTTAGACTTATCACTGAAAGGATCCTGCCCATGATTCAAAATGTGTTCATTTTGTTGAACACAGCATTTATTCATATTCATTTATTAAAGTGTTCTCACTTTTTGTAGGATTTGTTTCTATGATATTTATCCTTTCTAAACCCCACCCACCCAGCCATATATATGCACACTCAGACACCCCAAATTTTTTTCTTCTCTACTTTGTAACAATAGCCTCTGAATGTAAAAACAAAATATCTCCTAAATTGTTTTTTAATGCTTTAAATAAGAAACTGAATGCAATCAGTATTAAAAAAACAGATGTCCTGCCCTAAATATACATGAAAAGAAATAGCAAGCTTATTTAATCCAGACTTTTGTCTATTTTCATCTCCTGTCAAATGTATATGAAATACAAATCTGCAGAATTGTTATACATTGCATAAACATTTAAATGGACATAACACAGCAGATGTGCAAATGCTGATATTTATGATCTGAATAATGAATCAAGAACATGGTTTATTTGTTTTTAACAATACAATGTATCATTTTATCCAGACATTTTAGCAGCCCTAAGTTCACTCTGCATATGTATATAGAACATAAAATCTAAAAAGTTTAATTATGCTTAAAGAACAAAATGTAATAAAATTTGCAAAGTAATAATTGTGGGTTCTTCCAGAATTGTTTTATAAGGTGATAATAATGGATGGAATTAATTAACCAGTGATGTATTTTCAAGCAGGATATTCTTGTATGTTGTTTTAAATTCCTGTGTTCCATATGAAATCATGCAATTTTGCTTTATTATTTACTAAACGAATACATGTAAATAAGTTTTTACTCTTTAAAGATAAGAAGATGCAAATTAGCAAAAGGAAATTATGTTCAGGTGGGTCCTGTGCAAATTTAACCTTGAGTACTGTTAATTCTATGTCACTCCTTGATAGATGCTTAGATTTTCAAATCTCTGGTTAGCAACTTAGCTTAAGACTAATGATTTGGTACCAAGCAAAATGCATTTGACCCAACTATTATTAGGCAACTGCTCCTAAACCTTCATTGCTTTCATTACTAATTAATTCAGGCAGATATTTAACTTAATAAGGTAAGCAAACAAAAAACTTTAAATTTTGTAAACTGTCTCCTAATTAGCTTTTTTGTGTGCACTCATTATCAAGATTAATTACTTATACAAGTGTCAGGCCTTACATTTAGAGTAGTGCACTAGAAAAACACATGCACAATACATTGACCACAGCTGGTTCCTCTGTTCCAGACTTCATTTTGATATGTCACAAAAATGTGGCTAAACAGGAAGAATCAGAATTCTTGAGAGCTATTTTCCTCTTTGAGAGAATATAGAACAGAAAATGAAATAAAAAACACCCAATCCAGAAAAAAATTAGGGAGTATCCACACTTAAAATAGATCTGTTCTAGTTTAAAAATTCGGATAACTACCAAGCCTGTTAACATGATGAACAGAATTTATAGATTTATATCCACATTCTTTCAGATAATGAATAGCTAAACTTAGCCATAAAAAAAATCATAGCTAAAAAATTAAAAAATTAAATTCAAAATTAAAAAATTCAAAATCCATTGCTAGGTAACACTTTAAGGCACAACATTCTCTTGTGATATTTTGGCTGAACCTAATAAAATTATTAGTTAAGTAATATTTTGAAACTTATGTACAGAATCCATTTTATATATAAAAATAGAAAAAGAGATTTATTTATTTTTCTCAAATATTTGAAGGAGGTGAAATTCATTTAGAGTAGAAACTAATTCCAGACCTTTCTTGTTTTATAAGACAATCAGAAATGTTGCACTGCCTGGACATTTCTTAATGCAGAGACTATTAAATGTTTGACATTTAATAAATTATTTGCTTTAAGCTAATGTAATAATTGCTACTACTATTTACAGACAAATTTGAAGATAATCCTTTGATTTTTTTAAAAAAACCTGTTCATTCTTGTTTCCAAGATATCTAATATTAGCAACAAATTGCCCATATTGTTCTTAGTAATTTTTGATAGCATTGCCCTTAAATATGCAAATCAGGATTATATTAATTACATAGCAGGTATATGTTTGTTAAAACCAACCCAGATACATCATGATCATAATCTGATCTTAAATTCCTGACTGTGTCCTGTGTTCACTCAAAATATTCTCTGAAGCTGTGGATTTTATGAAACTTTGAAGACAGCAGTATTATAATTTTGAAACCTGTCCTATAATATCTATCATTTTTTTTCAAAGTGCTTAGTGTGCCTTCTTTGATTTGACATACAAATGTTGAAGTTTGTCACTATCATATCTTTATATTTCCACTACTTGAAAGTGCTGATTCAGGTTTTTTTTCCTAGGTAAAATATATCCTTGAAAGCCAACTGGCTTTCAATGTGTGTCAAAATAATGTATGTCTTAATATTTGGTTTGGCAAATAAAAAGTATATGCACTTTATATGAAGTCTTCTGGGGTTTTTTGGCAGGGGGAAATGGGTCACTTTATACAATAATTGTCTGATTTTAGTTTAAAGTCTCTGTTAAATTTTATTTAATTTAGATATTCGTCCTAAATCAGGCATAATGAGAATATTTAGAATACTGAATATGATATTTCAGATGAAGGACTCAGATATATAATTGGTATACATCTTCCTGTGATAAAAGATTTATTTATAATGTTGGTTTGAATATGAATTGGCCTTTTTAATAGTTTTAGAGCAATGATTCTGTACAAGCCCTTTTGCTTTTAATTCTTTTCTTTCTTAATGGGTGACTGGATAAATTCAGTGGTGGATTTTTTGCGACACTAAAGCAGCAGATAAGTCTATGATGCACTCTAGCTATGTGGTTTAAAAATCCCTTACCATATGTTTTCTCACTGGAATGCCTCATCTTGCAAAATTACAGGAACCGAAGCTTAAAAACACAATTAGGTAATTTTAAAATAAAGTATTAAAGAAATATCACATATTTCCAGATTTTCCTGCTATTTTTTTTCCCAATCTTCTTATAGATTTTTCAGCTTCTTCTGTTGCTTTTGGTGCTAAGAGAACCTGCACTGTGTCTGATTGTTGTCGTAATCATGCTGCACATTTTTTTTTTCTGATTAGGTTACATAGGCTGAGGTTAAATTATAAATGAAAGAATAGCTACCAGAGTACTTGTCATAACAGTGCCTTTTATGTTGCTACAGAAAAATGGGAAAGGAAATGGATGCTCGAAAAGACACTAGGCAAGGTTTTTTCCCCTTAATTTTTCTCCTCTTTTTTTTGTGTGACATAGTATCTGCACAGAAAACTAATGCCATTTGTTACAATGACTTCTGCCAATAAGTTTTTCTGAAACTGCATGGAATATCTGTCCAAAAATGTATGGCAAAAGAATATATAATATATACGCATAACAATATCTACAAAACTTCATGATTTTCTGTCTATGAAATTTATGAACTATTGTTTTTTTTTCTCAGACTTCAAGTCTCATAAAAAATAAAGAGAAAGAAAAAGCATATAGCATGTATTCTTTCAATAATTCTGAATCTACCTTCTAAACAATGGCTATATAGAATGTTGTTTTTCAAAAGAGATATTTTAAATTTGCTCTGTGTTACCATACAGTAATTTAATACTCCAATTCTAATACTAAATCCTGGAAAATATTATTCTTCCTAAATAGTATCTTTTTTAAAAAAAACAATCTGTGACATTGTGGACTTTTAAACATACCATAATTGAGTTCTTTAAAATAACAGCTAAACACAATGATACTTTCAGGAGGAACAAATGTGTTAAACTTTTTCATATGTATGAATGCTATTTAAAAAAAAATATTAGTTTAAAATCTTAAATACATGAATTTAATAAAGAGTGATCTGTAGCAACGAGGAGAAGAAAGACATAATACAGGCTGTTGTTTCATTTTATACAGCAAACATAGCGATGATTTCCAAAACAGAAACATTTTTAATTGCTTCCTCTCCCCTTAATATGAACATGGTTTAGCTTTTCATATGTCATATGTAGCTCAGTGGTTCCCCACACATGAGTAAGAAGAACCTGATAGGAGATCTGAAGCCTTAATTGACATATTCTGCCGTGATTTGACAACAGACTGCTGGATGGCTTCTAAACATTCACAAACAAGGAATCTTTCCTTTGTCATTATGCCTGTGAGCTGTGCTTTTTCGTTTTCTCTTTTTCTTGTTTGGCAACCCTGTAACCTGCCTTAAGGATTCTTATTCCTTCCCCCCCCCCATCATATTTTATTATTTTTTTATTTTTAAATCTTATTGACAGAAATATCAATGTTTCCCAGGATAACAAATCTCCTTTTACAGCCCTTGGTGGAGTTTGGTTAGGGGCTACCTCTGAGCAACACAAACTCGCCCTTGCTGTGTATCTTATAATAATACTTTCACTGTGGTAAAGAATCAGGATACTTCAGAAACAGCCTGAAGCCATACAGCTGATTATTTCACCAAATTTGCATCTTTTCAACAGTAATGGGGATGTCTTTCACAAATGCTCCCAGGCTCTAAATAGATGCTAAGTGGTTGTTTCTAGTTCCTTCTCTCTCTGGAGCCTCCTGAGAGTCAGTTCCCATCCAACCAGCTCTGCCCGCCCCGTGCTTAGCCCTCTGGCAGTTGTGCACTGCTCCTGGCATCTGGCAGAACCCTACAGAAGGGTGTACATTTAGTTAGTTGGCCAAGTAATTCAGGCATGCTTGGGATGTCTAAGAGCGCCTGCTTGCCTGCCTGCTCGAGATAGCAATTATTTTCTCTTTTCCCGAGGAGAAAAAATTAAGTGGCCTCCAGGAAAAGGGAGTTGTCTCAGGTGTCCTTGGCTTCTGAGTTTTATATCCTCTATGTTGTCAGGATGAGATTTGTGTTTCCTACTTAGGGATTTAACACAGTTGGATTCTTCAGCCCAAGGAAATCTGAGGAGTAGGAAGAAAAGACAAGAAAGCGAGGTAGGGCTTGAAAAAGGGATGAGGTGAGAGATAGCAATTGAAGAATTACATATTTTACAGTGAGTGATAGAATGTCATTGGTGAGAAAATCTAGGGAGAAGCAAGGTATATGAAGGCTTTTCAAGTTGCCTTTATTATTATTTTTTGTAAGGGGTAAATTAAGGCAGAAGAAATCTCTCCCCCCCCCTTATTATTATGCTGTGCCTGGCAAGGTCCCTGAATATGCATATAGAAAACAAAATTAAACTCACTTCCAAAAACATGCATAGGAATCAAAGATAAAAGATTTAAGTATGCAAATGTCTGCATGTCTTAAAAAGAAAGCAAATCATAGTATGTTCTTCCAACTTTTCCTATGTTGTGGGCCCATTATAGAAGCATGATCTTGTGTTCCTTCTACTAATATTGCATAATGTTTTGAAGCAGCCGTTTTGAGTCAATTCTTCTAAGGGATAACTGAAACTTGAATAATGAGGTTACTTACTTTATCTTTTGTTCCTCTCTCTATAAAGGTTCCTCAAGATTTTTGTGTCTTATTCAAAAGGCTGGTAAGAGTTTAATTAATCTAAGCACACTGTTGATCTAGATGTAGCAATCCTCGAGCATAAACACGGAGTATAAGAGGAATAAAGTCAAATACTACATTAACTAAGTAATACTTATAATAATACATAACTAATCAAGTATGTGAAAAACATGGTAGAGGTTTGCATAATCAAGTGATACGGCTGGCTGAAAATTCTTGGGTCCAAAGCTGTTTTTCATATTGTGTTTTTAAAACAATTTTAAGTAAACTTTCTTGATTGTGCCCTAATAGCACACTGGGAAACATAAGCAACACAATCATTTAAAAATGTTTTACTTATTAAAAAGGGTAAGGGAAATATTACAGATTATGTTTCATTGGGTTCCAAATTACATATTTTGGGAATATGAGCTTCTTCATTCATGTCAATAACTAGAACAATTCTGTTCATGACATTGGAATGAGTGAAGAAAATCTTCAAATGTTAGATCTTCAACTATGCATTACAATAATCATGAATCTTTGAATAAGTTTGTAAAACTCCATTGGTTCCATAAAACAATAAAAAATAACAATAATTTTTAGAAGCTGATGCCAGAATTAGATTCATTTCTACTGGCTGAAGTGCTAAAATGCAATTTAATAATCCTTGTGATTTCAGGAGAATATTATGGTCAAAAGGAAGATTTAAGACAAAGAATATTTTCACCTGATTATGAGATTCTCTTATGATCATGATGTATTAAGGCTGGGTATATGTGCATGGTTGTGCAGTTATACATGTATAGTCGAGTGCAGTTTAGCTATCTCTTTAAGAAACTTGAAGCAAGATGGAAAAAAGATTCAGATATAGAAATATTTATTGATGTAGAAATATATATAAACTTGTCTTCAGTGATTACAAGAACTAATGCAGAAGAAAGAATGGCAAAGCCAGGGAAGGAGGAAAAAAAGAACCATCCTAGAATTATTACGTAGCCACAAAAAAATTGAGTCCAACCCCCATCCCGTGATTACCATCACTGTTATCTAACTATAACTAAGTGCTGACGTTAGTTGAGAAAATTCTTGTGCTTAGGATTTTAGCAATAAATCAGTTAAATTGAACTTTCATGTGTGGTTTGACACCCAACTGAAAAGAGTAATTTCTTTTTAAGGTAATTAGAAAATTTTGAAAGAAAAATATAAGTTTACTTTATTAGTTTCTTATAAAATGAGTATGCATGTCTAATCTGATTTGAATCATTTTTTTAAAAAGATGATTTTAGATAATGAGAGACATTTTACTCCCATACCTGGACTTAGACATTTTAGATAACAAAAAGCATTAACCAAGGAGTCGTGATGTTTCTTAAGCCATTTCAGAAAGAAAGATAAGTTTCCAGTTTTCCAAAAACACACTCCTGGAAACAAACAGTTAAAACAAGCAATCAGCTGCTATCACTGAAGGAAGCACTGATTTAATTATGATAGATCACAACATCTGTTAATAAATCTTTTCAAAACATTTTTTTTCAATACATTATAAGAAATTCTTGCCCAGGATGTGATCTCCCTATTTCAGATGGTTGAAATAACTGTTTTTCCTTGCAAAGTCAAATACCTGTGTTTATGGACGTAATGAACAGAATGAAATAAGAAAGAACCATATGTTTCCATTCTTGCCTTGTATAATGCACTTCAGTTGCATTTAGGGTATAATCAGTATGACTATATTGCACTAATTATACCCTAAGGATATTTCAAACAGCTTAAAAATGAGGGTGGTAAGATTTGAAGCACTTCGAAAGAGACTATACTGGTTCCAGAGTTTCAGATTCAACTCAGCTTTAAAGATGTTTGGATTTCTCTCCAAGTTTCCCATAAATGAAAGAAGGGAACCACTCATAATCCTAATGTCCATCCAGGAAATCACTTTATCAGGTTTGGGGAAAAAAGAATCAGAACTATTTTGTTAATTTATCCATTGCTCGCTGATTACCTTAGAAGCAATCAGAGCTGAA